AATAACTCTAATATAGAAAAGATCTTATAATTATATCTTCTCTAATTTGGTTGTCTAATACCAAGTTTCCTAATATACAGGCTTCCTAACATACAAGATTCAGATTTATGATTTTCCATGACAGAAAAGAGCATAATTAAAAATTGCTTAATTCAGGTATCATAAATTCAGAACAAAAGAAGTAAGCCTATCTTCTGCAATAGAAAAAAAGAGAAATGCATTATAGTGAATTGTTATAACTAGGGTTTCTTAGTTTATCTCCTAGAGAAAATGATAAGGGAAGAGTAGAGGATATCAATAGTCAATCGTCATGTACATAGGTTATATTGGAAAAAAACAGTTTTGCAAAGGAAAATAATTTTGAAGTTGTAGCAACTATCCTCTACCGATCTGAATTGAACCATTACAGCTTGCGCACAATTCAAATATATCCCATAGCACTTTAAGCGAGTAATTCTAATGTGTCAATGGGATTTTGAATTTAGGCTTCCGATTGATGCAGGATGCAAAGCTACGCAATAAAAAAAATATGAAGATAGATGAGCTGCAATTGCAATGTAACGAATGTGAATAAGTACCACAAATGATGAAGGTCTACTATCTATGACAAATTGCAGCGAATGAACCCAACATTCAGTCCAAAATAAGCTCAACACCCAACAGCTACGATGATAATGTTTCAAGTTGTGGAGTCTAAAGGGCTGTTTGGGATCAGTTATTTTTTTGTTTTTAGTTTTCTGCTTCTATTTTATTTTGTTTGTATTTTATTTATATTTTATTTATATTTTGCTTTAAATTAAACCATGTTTGATATGTTTAATTAGGAAATTGTTGTTTTTAACAACACTTAAAACAACAGAAAGTGGTTTAATTTTTTTAAAAAACAAGCTGATTTATTTTTAAATGCAAAAATTGAAACATGCAAAAAACACAAAAAATGGTTTAAAAAAAAAAGGCAAAAACAATAAACATAAATGATCCCAAGCAGGCTCTTATTTTTTTCACTGTGAAGGAATGTGTTATACAGACATAGTTGTAGCTTGACAAATGATATCCAATATTGTATTATATTTCATTAAAGTCATTATGAGGATTTTACTGAATTTTTAACTGCCCTAATTCGTCTTCACAAAGAAGAAGCATTGCCTTAATTTGGTAATCAAGATGATAAGACTTGTAAAAGTACAACAATAAGCCATGATGAAATCTGCAAGACGTAACCATTATTGGGTGAACCCTTATAAAATCCATGGTGTATTTTGCCCATTAATCTTCTTTCTGTTTTCATTTACTTTTTGCACATTCTGGTAGAAATAGATTTCAGCTACTTCCCAACAGACAAGTGATGAAACTCAAATACTGAACAATGATTGACTTAAAAACACTTCCAACAAGTTCACTTGAACGCAAAATAAGGATGCACCACAACCAATTTAAGTTTCTAATATCAGCAGATTTTAAATTCCTAAACTTAGTGCTCTCCTGCTAATATGAATTCAACCAGCACTTCTCAGTATGCACTTCGTCAAAATTCATCAAAACAAGAAAAGCAGAATATTCAACGTGTAAAAAATTCACAATTCATACCCGCAATTAGGGAATAATGATTGAAGAAAACCAAAAATTAAGATGATTTATGTTCTTGAGCCTTACAGGATTTGCTATCATTTTCAGCTTATACGATTTCAGCCGGTCCTGCGCAGAATAACCAGAAAAAGTAAACATAAAATGAGGAAGAAGGTAAGGGAAAAAGAAAAGACATATGGAAGCTATAACGTACTATCAAAATCTATTTATAAAGCCTTACATGACCCTGCTGCAGCTTAAAAACAAAATCTTCCGTGATCTTCGCAAAATACATTCTACAAAAGCAGCATAAGTGCGTTAAGCAAATCAGTGCAATATTCCTGGTTGAAAATTGATAAAAATACCTCTTCTCTTCAAGTCCTGCAGATGCAGTGACAGCTTGTTGTCTGAGAAGTTCGAGTGACTGCAATTCCATTCAGGGCATTTTAGAAGAATGCCACTTTCAAAGATTCACAAAAAAATGAAATACAGGCGATTATTTTGTAACTAAAAAATAGGCTAAATAAAAAATTAGAAAAAATAAAATAAAAAGCAATTGCAGAAGTTCAATGGAATTAACTTTAAACAAGTGCTCCCTTCAATGCTCAATAGTTTACAAGGTATGATAAGATAAGAATGTTGTAATATATTATTATAATATTCTGAAGTAACTGGTATTATAGTTCAGTTAGATAAGCACCAAGGTTCACTAAGGCATTAAACAATAATAGATGAATTTCACGAACAAGAAAGGAGATAGCTAAGCAATTAATCACCTGAAAAAACCGAAAGAATTGTTCAATTTTTCAATTGGAGCAAAAATATGAATCTGTTCAACTTAATATTGGCCTTAGAGAGTTACAAAAACCTTTTGATTAGCCAAAGAACTATGAAGATAAGGGATTGGGAGGAAGAAGAAGAAATGACAAAGAAGAGAAACAATAAAGAAAAAAAAAGATGAGAAAGGCAACATGACATGAATGCAAAGGGTGAAGAAAAGTCATCTTCAAGTTTTTCAATCAGGTGTAAAACTTGAGCCTTTGGGCTCTGAAGACTCCTCGCCATTCTAGATTGCGGCTAGGGTCACAGGACCACAAAAAGCTATTCCCTCTTCATTAAAAGGGTATAAATATAGAAATCAGAATTACAGAGTAGGGAACCCAGAAGCTCCACGCATAACTGTTTTTGCTACTACACCCTTCTAATGGGAACAAACTAGCAGATGACAGGGAAGGGTGGTTCTACACTAACTACAATATTGTTTGTAGGGTGGTTTAATGACATCTTAAATGTTTAGAGGTCTGGAATAATCGTCTAGCCAATGTTTGTTGGAGCCATTGGTGGGCTACTATTTAACAACTATTTTTAAAATGATCGCATAATTTGTATCTGTTAGGGCTCATACTTAGCAAAACATTTGTCTTTTTTCTTTCCGTACCGTTGCTACCTCACTGATTCGTGGGATCTCTACTAACTACTCGTCAATCTTATGAACTATTTTAATTATTTTGTACCTAATTTTATAATCTGATCTCAAAAATTTATAATAGATGTTTTTTTGTGAGAATGTAGAAGTTCTATACAAGCTGAAATGAAATACACTTAACTATATTTTTTCAGTTTTTGTCACACAAAAAAGTCGACATCTAGGTTTGCTGCCATCCACATGAATCAGCAGTCAATCCTTAGCTCATAATTGGTCCTCAAGTACTATTGATTCGATATCTTGATGTTAACATGAAAAGGTTAAATAGGCCTCCCTGCACATAGGGTTGTAATCGGGTTGAGTCGATTTAAGTATGTCACGAAGAACATGGCTTGGATGAGGGTCTGTTTGGGGCAGCTGCAGCTTATTGAATAATTTGCTGATAAGCTGATTAAAAATAATTTGTTGATGAGCTAGGTGCAGTGGCTATTACAAATTTTTATTTTTTTGGAAAAGCCAAACCACAGCCAAAAAGCTGCTACCACACCTAGATAAGTACAGTGTAAGGAAGTTATTTTCAGCATTTTGAAAATGCATAAGCTGTCAA